GGTTCTGACCGCCTGACGTAACCGAACATTTAAATGTCCCAAAGTTTTCTTGTCCGATTTTGTTGATGATCAGTGCTCCGTCGGACAGCGACAGTTTGTCTTTCCAGGGCTGTTCTGAAGGGTCGAACACACGGGATTATCACAATCCTAGAAAAACTCAGAACCTTAACGACGTCCACAGTACGTCATGACGTGCAGCGGTTACCTGGTTCGAAATTCTGCCCCCCCAGGTGATTCCACCAGGCGATTGCTTTGGGATTAGAATGAAACATCCAGCTCACGTACTTTGGTTTTCCCCCAGGTTCTACCCCAGGTTGAAGAACAACGGTGTCTCCTTCACGAGCGTAAACCACGCGCTCGGCTCCTGAGAGAGTGAGAACCAGGTTAGTGGTTTACAAGAACTATAAAAGCATTAGTAAGTTAGTAACTAAGACGTCTTACCTCTGACCGACGTCGACAACGAGCAGACCATAAAGACAGAGAGAAGAAAAGTCGCCATGTTTGACTGAAAAAAGAAGACGACGACGACAGTAATGTTAATAATAACAAATAAATGAATCAATAATAATAATGATAAGTCTGTGTAAACACTTCTGATTTCTGAAAAAACTGACATTAAAATAAAATATATAACACGTAATATCATTTGTCAGGAGCCCCCGGTGGCAGACTGATCAATTATCACCAACTACAAAAAAACTCCAGTTCAAAATTATATTCGTAAAATATAAAAGTGAAATATTACATTTCAAACACTATAAAAATCGTTGAATTTCTACAAAAACAAAAACAAACATAAACAACAGGATTATGTCCTGCTGTGACACTCAGTTTTGATGTGACATCGTTGTTCGTTAGCGTTAGTCTTCGTTCCATTCTTATCCACGTAACATGATCGATTTCAAAAATACCGTCGCTCCCGTTGTCACCGATCCTCGTCTCGTTTTGCTCCGTCCTTTGTTTTTTATGAACTGTAATAAATGTACTTTATTTTTCAGAATATTGTTGAGTTTCAACTGTTGTTAAAAAAACAGTTTTTTTTAAATGAACCTAAACACATCACGGTGTCATCTGCATAGTGTTAAATGTTGAACCATGTTTTTAAAAACAAACTTTTTTTTGTTTAAATAAATCATATTGTTTTTATTTTAAATGATAAAAACCTTTTTTTCAGCATTAACAAAAACCTGATTTGGCAGATTTTTAAAACCTTTACGTCGATTAAGTATATGCACTGATTTAAAAAAAAAAAAAAAAGGCCAAACTCTGATCGTACAGAACAAGAATTAAATAATTCTGTTACGCAAAACACACTTTAACTAACAAATATTTATGAATAAATTCTGAATAATTAAGAGATAAAATAAAAATATAAATAATATAAAGCATGCAGTACTACTACTTCAGGAGTACATGCTTTTCCTCAGGTCTAGTACCGTTTATCAGATTGACTTCGTTAGATGTTACTTTTTATAAATTAGAAAATTCTGTAGTATTTTTTAAATATTTGTAATTCCTCATTTTTTCGTAATATTAGTATAAATACGTTTCTTTTTTTCCATCTAACACTACCTATAAAGAAGTTTCCAGAACTATACTGAATGCATCTTAACAGCTTGGCAGTACTTGGTAGTATATTTATGTATTATATTACAGATATGTCTGGGTTCAATACTTAAAACATAAATTATATTTTGTATCCTTGATATATATCAGTATATATTTTTTAAATATTTATGTTTACATTTTTTAAAATTCTTGTTTCAAAACAAGAACCAGTAAATCTGGGCCGTACAAACACTTTTATATTTACCGACACACGTCGTGTCTTTGAGGCTGTTTTCCTCCTCAGTAAATAGTTTTGATGTCAACAGTATAAACGGCGCCGCCTGCCTGTCAACACATCAGAGTCGATCAAATATTTATTTCTTTCAGTTCATCTTTTAAAGTCAATCTTTTTTATTCTGCAAATTATTTAAGAAGTTCTTTGAGAAGGAATTTGAACCTGCAGTAAACCGTGGTTGTGGAGTCAAAGTCGTCGACAGGAAGTTGGCGGTGGTCTGTGGTGGTCTCAGACTGGAGGAGATAAAAGACGAGGAGCTGAGAGTAGGCGGCCTGTGGTGGGCTTTGGATGAAAGGAACCGGAGGAAGAGGCACGGAGCCGACGCTGAGCTGTGGTGGGCCCTGATTTAGTCAAGGTGAAGGTTCCTATCCCGGTCTCACCCCCCCCCCCCTCCCACGCCCTCTCTTCCTCCCCTGTTCCACGAAAGACGGATCTCTCCTCGCATGAAAGTGTGAAGAAAAGCGACCACAGCGGCAGCAGCAGCAGGGACTGTGGTTGAAGCTCTTCTCCCTTTTCTCCCCCTGCCTCCCTCTCCACCTCCCCCTCCCTCTCCCCCCTCCCTCATCTCCGTCTCTTCCCTCATGAAGACTGTGAGCCAGGATTGAAAGAAAGAAATCTTTGTGACGACGTTTCCTTCTGCTCTGACTGTGATTCACATCAAAAAAAGAGATGACAAAAAAGAAGAAGAAGTGAAAGAATTCTGTAGAAAATTTCATTTTCATTTGGTCCAAGACCTCGACAAGACTCAAGATTCAAGACTCAAGATTCAAGACTCAAGATTCAAGACTCAAGATTCAAGACTCAAGATTCAAGACTCAAGACTCAATGTTTAAACATACAGTGTAAATGTAAACACTGGACGGACCAAGAGTTGAGTTGTAATTTGGAGTAAAATAATTTAATTATTTTAATAAATGACCTTCTAATAAACATGTATTGTTTCTTAAAGATTGATTCATTACATGGTTTGAACAAACTGTTATTAATTAATTAATTAATTATCGTCTTTATTGTCATTGTAACACAGGGATACAACAAAACTGAGCCTCAGATTTGAACCCAAACAAGAACATATTTATATTATATATTTATACAGACTTATATTTACGTATTTATATTTTCTGACTTCAACTTTTTTATGTCCGGGAAATAGTTAATTTATATTTTATAAAACTACAATTAAAATTGAGTTTTTGTTTGTAAAATTCCTTTAAAATAATAATTGTAAAATAAAAGATCATTGTATACATACATATATGCATAAACATATATGTATGTATATACATACATATATGTATATACATATATGTATGTCAGTCTCTCATGTATATGTGAGACTGACTGCAGTCTGGACTGGAGCAGCTCTCATGTATATGTGAGACTGACTGCAAAGACAGCAAAGACAGAAGATATGAGTGAGGAATGAAGGTGAAGATGAAGATGAAGATGAAGATGAAGATGGAGGAGGAGGAGGAATGATTGAATCCCAGGTGGATTGTTCTAGAAGAAGACGTTTTCTGGTTCTGCCTTCTAAACTGAACTGATGAATCGTCGATATTCCACACAGCGGCAGTGAACCTGAACGCATCGTGACAACAGACGTCTGTGATTCAGCACAGACAGACGACACATTCAGACTGAAGGAAATCGGGTTCAGAACAAAACTGTAAGTTGGTCCATCACTGGTACCAACACACTGACTGACTGTAGAAGGACTTAATGGATTTATAAAAATATTTTTTTTATTTAGTCTTATTATTATATTTATAAACTGCTGTCGATGGATTTCAAGGAATAACAGTCGAAATTTATGTCTAAGAAATAAATATTTAAAAAAAAACCTGTATTAGAAATAAAATAATTTAATATGAAGAAAAAAGGTTAAACTAATAATAAATAAAATTAGAATACATACAGCAGTGAAATATCCTTCTGTCGTTCTGATGAAGGACCTTCAGTCCTCCGACCTCCGACCTTCTGTCGTCCGTCCTCAGAGAAGTAACGTTGACTATTTATCGAACAGCAACTTCTTTAAAAGCCGTTGCCCCTCCCTCACCTCTGATTGGTCTAGAACAAAAAAAACAGAAGTGTTGATTAAAGACATTGTCAGAATACTGACCACTGATTGGCTGCTGCTGCAGAGGAAAATCAAATCTGACAAACTAAAGAAACATATTTTTATCCAGATCATCTGAGTGGGATTTAAAAAAAAAAAATTTAATATAATTATTTTTTGCTGCTCTTTAATTAATCAACATGACACAATTAACATCAACATTTTTTTAAGAACTTTATTTTTTTATTTTTAATCAATAAACAGTAAAACGTGGTCGGACTTTTTTCGACCTCCAGCCTGTGTTTTATCCACCGTCGATCTGTTCATGTTTCACTAAGACACGGAGAAACGTCAACAAAACGATCCGTCTACAGACCGAACTGAAGGGACGAACGTTTACCACGAAATGACGAAGTAAATGAAAGAAAACAGAAGTCAAAAAATTTAATTTGTAAATAATAATAATAATAATAAACATTATTTATAAAATACATATAATACTGTATAAAAACCAACTCCGTAAAGTTTGTTAATAATCACCACTTCACTGACTTTAAATTATCATCGGGTTTTTTTTGTTTTTTTCTACCGCAAATGTTTTAGTTTGACTGCGATTTGTTTATCATTAAAAATGTAAAAAAAAAAAATTGGAAATTTTTTTTGAAATTTTTATGTAAAATGTATTTTGTTTTGACATATACACAAATATATAAAAATATATTTACGTCGTCTTGATAAACTACGGCTCAACAAACTTCGGCGTCTAATAATACGTATCAGTGCGTTAAAATTTACACCAGTTTATTGTGCGGTATTGTAAAAAAGAAATTCTTCTCTGTTTTTAAAACATTTAACTTTTTCTGATCTGTGATGATTAAGAAATTAAGACATTAAAACTTTTTAAAAATAAAAAACAAATCGGGCACAGTTTTAAATTCCATCTCGTTCTGACTGTGATGTTTCCCCGACGTCAATCTGAGGCCGGGATCGAACCTCTGACCATGCTGTTAAAACACTTCTGCTCCGTGCAGAACAAAGAACTAAACTGTAAATAAAGTAGAAAAAAATACATTTCATAATAATTACTGCACAGTGAACGAGGCCGACGCGGTGGACGAGCGGTCGGTGCTGTTGCCCTACGGTGAGAAGGTCTGTGCTTCGATCCCCGCTGTAAAGTGACGTTCTCTCTGAACCAGGATTGTTTTTCAAATCTGACAGAATTAAAAACGTAGATTCATTCACACTGAACTGAACATCGGTGTGAATGGGAGTGTGAATGGACGTACAGAGACTGGAGTGGACGGATGATGTAACATGGTTAGTTGGAATCAAACTAGGTTAGGTTTAGTTAGGTTAGTTTGGTTGATTGACAGACAGGAACCGTATTAACCTTTAACCCTTAAACACTCACAGTTTCACAACGTTTGAACAACAACAGGTTTGAACTGAACCACTTTAAAAAAACCAGAACAAAGACCTGGAAATTGATTCACTTTAGTCCTGAGACCAGGACCAGGACCAGGACCAGGACCAGGACCAGGACCAGGACCAGGACTTAGACCTTAAAACAGCAGCAGAGTTTCTCTTGTGTGGTCGTTAGTTAGCGCTGTGCTAACAGCTAACTGCTAACAGCTAACTGCTGCAGCGAGTCGACGGTAGAGACTCAGTCACAGCGGTTTGGAGACGTCGACCACAACAAGGACAAAACAAACTCCTGTCATGAGTCTCTGTGAGGTTTCTCTGCCGCCTCCCCCGGCTCCTCCCCCACCAACACTTCACACCTGCTACCGTTCTTACCGCTCGGAGCTCCACTGCAGCCGCGCGGTGTTCGCTCTGCTCTCACCCATGGTTTCACTGACACTGAAACCGATCAGAGATGATTGTTTTTCCCACTCACTGCAGTTTAGGTGGAAAACACCTGAAAGTGAGGAATCCCTCAGCCATTAGTCACACACACAGACACACACACGCAAACACAGGTGTGTGTTTTCGTGACACTGACAGATGTGGGCCACAGACCAGTAGGAAAGATGATTCACTCCATTTCTTTGTACTTGAAGGCCTCACACCCTACAGAGGGGAACCCTCACCCTCTCACTCCCTCACTCCCTCACCCTCTGGCATCTTCATCCTCACGTTTGACACGACTTCAGTCAGTTAAAACAACACAAGGTAAAAAATAAATTAAAAAAAAGAAGAAGAAAAACGATAAAAAGAAAACAATAAAGAATGAGAAGCACAAAAAGATAAGGAACTCTGAGTCTGGACCTGTTCTGTTGAGGTTTTTCACATCAAGTCAATCTAATGTTCATTTTACATCTGTCTTCATTTCCCTCCGTCTCATATATTTTTATATTTATTTTGAGGGAGTTAATCCTAATTTTAATGTCAAAACTGAAAAGTCTAAGAGACTAAATCTGCTTTTTTTTATTTGTTCTGGACTTGACTTAAATAAACAGTTCCAGAACCGTTAGAAAATTTAAAATTCATTTTAATAAATTAGTTTCAACTTGGATTTTTGAATGTTGAATGTTTGTTTGTTTTTAATTGTACAAACGTCAGAGAGAAGCTGAGACCAACGACAAACTCTGGTTCGAGTGAAAACGGTTGAAGTTCGACTGAATCAAAACAACAAACTCAGAAATCACTGGAAGAGTTCAGATTTTCTCTGGTTCAGTTTCAATGAGCAGGAAATGAAGTCAAGAGTCGACGTCGGACCAATCAGAACTCTCTAAAACACATTATGTTGTTTTCTCTGTGTTGACCGTCCGTTCGAGGTCAAAGTTCAGGTCACGTCGTCGTTCGACCTGATTTAAAAAACACGACGCTTCAACGGACGGTAGAAAATGAACGGAGGTTTGTTTTTAGGGTCAAAGTTGAGAGTGAAAAGTCAGTGAAAAGTCAGTGAAAAGTCAGTGACGAGCAGAAACTAAATCCACGGTGACGCAGGTCAACGACTGCGACTGGGACTGGGGGGGGCGGGTCACTGTGGGGTCACAGGGCAGTTTGACTATTTACCCCATCAATTTAAGTACCTGGTTGTTGTACCGTAAGGTAACACAATACTGCGTAGTGTACACGCAGTACTTTGATGCTGTTTTTCATTTTTTGGACAGTAAAATCGGGGGGCGTGGTCCAGGCAGGTGGCGGTGAAGACTGACGTCTCTGTGTGTGAGCGTTGGCAGAGAGAATATTTAAAATGTCAGTGGAAAAGATGGTGAAACGAGAGGACGTGGAGTCGGCGACTGTTGCATCATGGAACTTCGTTGATGCCGTTTTAAAAACTTGTCTGTTGTGAAACAGAAAATGTTTTTGTTTCTTCTGACATTTCTCCCACTCAGAGCTTCGACTCCATCTGAACTGAGCTCTGACCAGGGAGGAAAAAAGAAAGAAAACATGGCCTGAAGAAAAGTCCAAATCAAGAAAAAAAAACAACTGATCAAGTCAAATGTAAAAATATTCAAATCTACTGTCGGCGTTTAAAGGTTTATTACAAACAGTTGGTCTTCAACCGTGAACAACGATTAAAAGTCGTTTACATTTAAAAAAAAGAAAAAACGACTTTTAACTTTTACTGACTTGAAACCAGTGAAACCTTCGCGGACGCCGCTCTGTTGATCATGTGACGGGAGTTTACAGAGAGGAAGTCGAGGGTTCGAATTGAGGGACCATCAAACAACAGCTGTCTGAACCCCGGGGGGCGGGGCTGGGGGGGGCAGACGGGGGGTTTGCACCTGTGTCCTGTGTGTGTGTTAATGATGAGAGTGTGTCGACGTCTGTCGTCCTGTTATTTACACTGACGTATGTTTTTGTCTTTCTTGCAGCTGTCGACGCTCAGACGCTGCATTCACTGTAATTGGACAAACGAACGTTGAGTTTTTAATTCTGTTTTTTATTGATTTCAACACTGACTGAGTGGAATATTTATGTGGAAAAACAAGGACACACAGCTTTCACTTTCACTCTGGATGACTGTGTCTGTGTGTGTGTGTGTGTGTGTGTGTGAGAGCAGTGAGTAATAGCCATGAAGAGGGAATCCTATGTTCTCATATTGAATTTCCCCAGAACTGCAGGTATTTACACAAAATACTTCTTCACGGGAAAATACTCTCAGGCTAAAAAACAACATTTTAAAAAAGTCAGTGGTTTAGAAAGAACTGGTTCCACTGGTTCCACTGGTTCCACTGGTTCTACCAGAGCCCGTCCAGATGAACAGTCAGGACACCATGAAGAGACAGTTGGACATTTTTATGTCCGTATTAATAATCCCATCATTTGGAACGACGTTTCATCACAGTCAACGGTGATTAACTGTGATTAATCCACAGCCACTGATTAATCAGAGTGTTTAAGGCTTTAAGTTTTATAGATGGACTGCCGTGACCTCTGCCGTGACCTCTGCCGTGACCTCTCAGACACAGTGTCAATCATCGATCATCAATCGATCGTCGCCTAAATCCAGTCATTTTTTTTCTCCGGACAGAAGAAAAACATCGTCTTCATCTCAACAACATCCAAGAAAATAAACCAAAATAAAAGTCTTTAACTTTTCCACATTTATGTTTGTCGCCAACAGCAACAACAGCAACAACAGCAACAACAGCAACAACGACGCCGCAGCGACAACGACCTGTTCGCCGTCCGTAAACCTGGACACGAGCGCTCCCGGCAGAGTTTCTGAGAACGTAAAGATTTTACTGAAACGTTTACGTTCTCGTAAAAACAGAGAAAAATATTAGAAACTTCAGGTTTTTACTCCAGGTCAGAAACACGTCGAGGACTCGTAGTAGTACTGCAGTACATCCAGACCAAAAACAGAGACTGGTTCCTCTCACAGTAACAGTTCATTAGATTGACTGGTAACGAGGATCAAACTGGTTCACGATGTTCACGAATTATTGAACCAGGAAAACTACAAACTACTGCAGTACTGCAGTACTGTGGTACTGTAATCTGCTGCCGGACTTTTGAATTATTTTTAAAAAACTTTGAGGCCTTATTGCAGGCGTGTCTGTTTGAGGGACAGTCAAAATGTTCTCAGACAGACGGGGTTATTTCTGTGTCTGTAGTTTTTATCGTTTGTTTTATGAAAATATTTGACGTCAGAAAAAAACGACACGTTTTGGACCAAACTTAAATTGAAACCAGTTAAAAATGATTAAAGTTTTTACTACAAATTTTCTTTTTAATTCTAACCAGACAGAGGAGGCGGGGGGGCTGGTGTCAAAGGTCAACCTGCAGAATTCTCTACTGACAACAGCGTTCAGTCGGTGCTGAGAAAATCAACTGCAATCAAAGCAAAGAATTAAGAAGTACTGTCTGTGTGTATTTGTACGTACTGTGTATTTACATGAGCGGTCGAGTCGAGTCGAGGATTCACCGCCGGAATTAAATTAAATATGTGTGTGTGTGTGAGTGTGTGTGTGTGTGTGTGTGAGTTGTCCGTTTTCTTTCCAGAAAAAAAACAAAAACAAACAAAAAAAAACCACATTTCTTATCATTCTGTTTGGATCTGAATTTTTTTTTCTTAAGTCGTTACAGTCGTGATCTGTCAGTCGCCTGTAACTACAACTGGACGCTGTTGTTGTACCGCAGTTCACAACTGTTACAAGAGGTTTCTCTGCTGTCTACAAACCAAACATTGTTTATTTATATTTATATATTTATATATGTATATACATATATACAGTATATATACACATATATGCATGTATACATACATATATGTGTATATATACTGTATATATGTATATATGTACGTATATACACATATATACGTACATATATACACATATATGTATATTTATATATGTGTGTACATACACATATAAAAATATATGTGTATATATACTGTATATATGTATATATGTACGTACATATATACATATATACACACACATATATGTACATATATGTGTGTGTATATATGTATATATACATACATATATGTATATATACATATATGTATGTATATATACATACATATATGTGTATATATACTGTATATATGTATATACATATATACACACACATATATGTACATATATGTGTGTGTATATATGTATATACATATATAAATATATGTAAGCATATTCGCGCCAACATGGACGTGGCGACGAGTCCAGGCAGTGTTGTTATCTCTTCACCACAGTGACATTAAAAACCACTGAACGTGTCGTGTCTACTTCAGGAACCCGATCCTTCAATCGTCTCGTTAACGTTGATAATTTGGTGCCGAGTTCAAAACCCTGAGTTTCTACGGTTCGGTCTGTTTCTATAACGGGGTCGACACAGAGACCAGAGGAACACGAAGCTCCACAGACTCAGACCAACATGATCTGTCAGAACCTCATGAAGAACCTCATGAAGAACCTCACGAAGAACCTCATGAAGAACCTCATCATACTGGAGGAGACCAGGACACACGTCTCCGTCTCAGGGCCGTTACTGTATAAAAGGTTCGTGACCGTGGCAGGTCCAACAACCAATCCCAGCTTCTGGTACATTCTGATCCTCTTTATAGACACAGACCAACATGGTGTGACAGAACATTTGGATAAAAACCAGATAAACATCTTCATCTATCTTGACCTGTTCTTGACCTGTGTCTGTCTCCTGTCTCTCCTGTTATTGTTGGCCCTGACATATTAATTCACCATATTTCTCCACCACAATGATCTAACGATGATGATGTCACTGAGCGCTGGTCAACTGGAAAATACATCAATTTAAATAAATTAAATAAATTCAATTAAATAAAGAACTAACATCTGGGCCTCGGCCGTGAACGGCGTTGATCAACACCAGGGTCAGGGAACAAGAATCGGTCAGAGTCCTGAGAAAACCTGTTCTAACAGTACTACAGTACTACAGTACTACAGTACTACAACAACAACAACACTTAGTAGAAAGTACTGCATTCACAGTATTTATCAGAGTACTCACAGGTGGTGTGTTCAGGGCAGCGAGCTGTTGATTTCTGACATTTCTTCAGGCATGTGAAGTAGAGCTCTCTCTCTCTCTCTCTCTCTCTCTCTCTCTCTCTCACACACACACACACACACACACTCACACACTCAGACAGGAAACGATCCCAACATCACAGTTTTGCGCTGACTTACGTTTGTTTGAAAATGCAAATGTCTTTATAACAACAACATTACTTCATTACAAACATTCTCATTATTTAGATTTTTTAACCGCAAATATATATTCATACATATATATATATAATATATATATTATTTATATATGGTATATAAATAGTATATATATGTATATTTAAATAAATATATAAATATACATATATACACAGAGCAATATGTGTTTAAAATACATATACACATAAGTACATATATAAATAAATATACCCATACCTATATATATATATATATACATATATGAGTACCTATATAAATAAATAGACCACAGACCGTGGGGACGACAGTCAGACGGTCCACAGACGTACGTACACAGCGTACGTACACAGACGTCTGACAGCAGCGGCGGTGGTTGTTGTTGGTTGTTCAGGGACACAGGTGCGGACCAGGTCTGATGTAGACCACTGACATTAACACCTGCAGCTCTGCACCAGTTGTGGAGGATTTGAACAGCAGTGCATTCGATCGACACACAAACATCACAAACATCAACGAGAAGAAGCTACAAAAGTCAAGAACAGAAATGAGTCAAGAATGAGTTTTTTTAATGACTTTATTTTCTGGTTTATTGACAGACAAATAAAAAAAAAAAACCATGAACACAGGAGGCCAGTGGAGTCTGAAGCTAACTCGAGCTAAATGCTAGTTACAGGCAGCGGCTAATTACACAGAGCTAACAGACCGTGAGCATAAACGCTGTGATAATATTCTGCACGAAGGTGAAAACAGTTCCATTCACTGTTGGGTGAAGCAGCTCGGCGCCGACACTTGGGTCAGAAGATCGTCCACATTCAGGTCACAGCGCCGCCCTCCTGGTTCTTCTCTGTCCGCTCGTGCGTCACTGCACCAGCAGTGGCTTCAGGGGGGGCGCCAAGGGCTTGGGCTTCTGACCGCCCTGCTTCAGTCTGGCTGCAGATGGAGGACTGTGGTGACGAGAACAGAACGGTGACAAAAACACGCAGGTCAAAGGTCAAAGGATTCTTCTCGTCTTTGAAAAGTTCAAACAAAGAACAAAGGAACATTTACCAGTTACACTGGCAGTACTGCCGGGGCCGGTGTGGGGGGGGGGCGCCCTTTATCCTGTGTAATTTTTTCTATTGTTGAAGAAAAGAAAATGAAGACAGAAAAAACACACGTGTGTTTGTGAATGTGTCAAACTTCAGGTTCGTGGGCTGGATCTGGCCCGTCAGGTCATTTAAGGAGGCCTGTAAGAGCCTAAAGTGTTAATAAAAATCAATACACTGACGGAGAATATTGATACGGTATCAGGAAATGAAATACTGGGATTTTTTTTTCAGAAAATCAATATTTTAATTTTAACCTCGTTATGAAATACTGGGATTTTTTTTTCAGAATATCGATATTTTAATTTTAACCTCGTAACAGATGTGACTTTTCCTCCAGAAACAGTTTAGGAAAATACGCTACACGATGTCCAAGAACAACGCAAATGTGAACTTTGACCTCTGACCTTTACCTTCCTCCTTCTGTTCCTCCTTATCAACACGCTGATGCAGACCAGCATGAGAAGCACCAGGAAGCTCCCAGCTCCTATGGCGACCCACAGCCACCAGTGGAACTGAGCAGGACCGGGCTGTGGCTCAGTGGATCCTGGTGGAGGACAGGACTGCGTCACTGGCAGAGAGAAAATCAAATTTAAATGAACACAACACTTCGCCGTTAATATATATCAGAGAGTACAAACACAGTACACACAGTTGTTGCATGGAGTCTTCGTCTGGACCTTCGGACCTCCTGGGGGCGCTAATGTGGTTGTGATGTGGGCTGAAAACAAAAACAAGAAACTCAGCCACTTCTTCTCCGGGTCCACAGAAATCAAACACCCGACACAACTGTTGAACTGCACCTTTAACTCTGACGTGGAGACTGCTGTTGTACGTCCGACCCTCATACAGGAAACTGCAAACCCAGACCCCCGAGTCTGACGCCGTGACGGGGTACAGATGGGCCGGACCCTTGGCTGGATGTGGAACCCCGTCTGGTCTGATCCACTGCACAGTGGGCTTTGGGCTCAAAGGTTTGCCCGTGTTCACAACACACTGGAGTGTGGCTTTGGAGCCAGAGTGGAGCTCAGGTGGGCTGGACCCGACTGACGGAGGAGGAGACCAATCAGAACGAGTGACTACAGAAACAAGCAGCCATTCACACCAGATCACGATTAGCCTAGCGCTGCAGGTCTGTGGACCGTGGGGGTCAACAGGGTTAGCTCCGAGCTAGCTCAGAAGCTAACCAGGATTAATTAGAAATGAAACAGAAAACCAGAGGTAAAAAAAGCAGGAAGTTCAAATCAGTGAGTCGTAAACAGAGGTGGTTCGACAGCTGAACACGTGCAGCCACACACAGGTACACAGCTCTACTGCAGTACTGCCGTTACTTCATTCTCCTACAACATTTCCAGAGCAGACCTGAGACCACGAGGAGCTTGAACTCTTTAGTTTTGCCGTCTGCGATGCAGGTGAACGTTCCGGTATCTTGCGCCATCACTGAAGGGATCTCCAGCCTGTCCAGCACGCACTTTGACCTTCCCAAAATGGCAGCTGGGCCTGGTGTAGAGAGCACACGCTGAGGCAGTAGGAAAACGACGGGCCGCACGGACCTAGTACTGCTGTGTACTTTTGGGAGTACCTTTGCGAGGGAGGTTGCGGTTGTTCAAACTCTGAATCAGCTGATCGTTGTGTTTCCAGGCCAGATTGGTGAAGGTGCCGACCCTGCACTCAAGGACGACGCGCTCCTGAGAATTGGACACGATCACTTCCACCGCAGCAAACACAGCAGACGGCACTGGAGACGCAGACAGGAAACACTCAGGTTTACAGTCAGAAATACACATGGAACATCACAGAGTACGAAGACGAGTAACAGATGTGACTTTTCCTCCAGAAACAGTTTAGGAAAATACGCTACACGATGTCCAAGAACAACGCAAATGTGAACTTTGACCTCTGACCTTTACCTTCCTCCTTCTGTTCCTCCTTATCAACACGCTGATGCAGACCAGCATGAGAAGCACCAGGAAGCTCCCAGCTCCTATGGCGACCCACAGCCACCAGTGGAACTGAGCAGGACCGGGCTGTGGCTCAGTGGATCCTGGTGGAGGACAGGACTGCGTCACTGGCAGAGAGAAAATCAAATTTAAATGAACACAACACTTCGCCGTTAATATATATCAGAGAGTACAAACACAGTACACACAGTTGTTGCATGGAGTCTTCGTCTGGACCTTCGGACCTCCTGGGGGCGCTAATGTGGTTGTGATGTGGGCTGAAAACAAAAACAAGAAACTCAGCCACTTCTTCTCCGGGTCCACAGAAATCAAACACCCGACACAACTGTTGAACTGCACCTTTAACTCTGACGTGGAGACTGCTGTTGTACGTCCGACCCTCATACAGGAAACTGCAAACCCAGACCCCCGAGTCTGACGCCGTGACGGGGTACAGATGGGCCGGACCCTTGGCTGGATGTGGAACCCCGTCTGGTCTGATCCACTGCACAGTGGGCTTTGGGCTCAAAGGTTTGCCCGTGTTCACAACACACTGGAGTGTGGCTTTGGAGCCAGAGTGGAGCTCAGGTGGGCTGGACCCGACTGACGGAGGAGGAGACCAATCAGAACGAGTGACTACAGAAACAAGCAGCCATTCACACCAGATCACGATTAGCCTAGCGCTGCAGGTCTGTGGACCGTGGGGGTCAACAGGGTTAGCTCCGAGCTAGCTCAGAAGCTAACCAGGATTAATTAGAAATGAAACAGAAAACCAGAGGTAAAAAAAGCAGGAAGTTCAAATCAGTGAGTCGTAAACAGAGGTGGTTCGACAGCTGAACACGTGCAGCCACACACAGGTACACAGCTCTACTGCAGTACTGCCGTTACTTCATTCTCCTACAACATTTCCAGAGCAGACCTGAGACCACGAGGAGCTTGAACTCTTTAGTTTTGCCGTCTGCGATGCAGGTGAACGTTCCGGTATCTTGCGCCATCACTGAAGGGATCTCCAGCCTGTCCAGCACGCACTTTGACCTTCCCAAAATGGCAGCTGGGCCTGGTGTAGAGAGCACACGCTGAGGCAGTAGGAAAACGACGGGCCGCACGGACCTAGTACTGCTGTGTACTTTTGGGAGTACCTTTGCGAGGGAGGTTGCGGTTGTTCAAACTCTGAATCAGCTGATCGTTGTGTTTCCAGGCCAGATTGGTGAAGGTGCCGACCCTGCACTCAAGGACGACGCGCTCCTGAGAATTGGACACGATCACTTCCACCGCAGCAAACACAGCAGACGGCACTGGAGACGCAGACAGGAAACACTCAGGTTTACAGTCAGAAATACACATGGAACATCACAGAGTACGAAGACGATCAGAGGAGATCAGGGAACCAGTAGAAAAGTCCGACAGAACAGTTCAGAGAACGACTCACCGAACCAGAGGAACACGAACACCTTCATCCCTGAAGTTGGATCTAAAAACAACAACAACAAAAAATATTAGAATTTGACTCAGGTCTGAAAAAAAAGCCAACTTTGTATTTTTAACTTTTGACTGTAAATGTTAAATTAAATGAAGAACTCATTATTAGATACGAATGGTTCAGGATCTGAAGGCCTGAAACTCAGTGCCAGATTAAAAAAAAAAAACCACGATGTTACTTCCTTCTTCTGTCAATCGTTTTAAAAATGACATCAAACCATAAACAACCCACTAAATATTTGTAACATAAAAGTTACAAATATCTTACATTATTTTCCTCATATAAATAACAGCCTGAAAACGCACGATTACAGTCGATCCATTTTTGTCAATTTTCGTTGTAGAAAAAAACCCCAAAAACAATCGAAACAGTTTTATTAATCCCTCCAGAGGTTCCTTCAGAAAAGTTAAGAAAATTAGAAAGAACTTTACATTCAATTGTTGGTCGGAAAAAAAATCTGAAACATGATTTTTTTTCACTTCAGTTTTTTTTTTGTAACTATAAAAAGTCAAAGGTCATTGAATATTCAATTTTTAATTTGTAAAGTTTTTGTCACAGAAAAAACGACCTTCTCAACATTGAAATGATAGAAATTCAAGAAAATTTCAAAACAATTTTTAAACTGAAACCAAAAATCATATTTACAAACTACTCATTTAAAAAAAAAAAACAAAAACAACCAAAACAAAATTCCCGTAAAAAAGCAGTTCTGAAATTTAAAAATAATAAACTCCTGATCCCACCTTGATTCAGAGGCAGTAGAATTTGTTGTTCTTGAAGTCAGAAATCTTCCGTCATCCTCTCTGGACCTCGCCTCAACACAAGTTTGAACACAAGGATGAAAAAAGTGCAGCAGGCGGAAGAGTGCGCTGCAGCTGGATCGCTGTGGACCAATCAAAACCCACGCTGCTCTTCTGCTCCTTCCTGTAAACTTGGTGTAGGATTTTCTCAGTGTGATGTCACAGGGTTACAGCTGCAACTCAGGCTGTCCTGAAACAACAGCGACAATAACACGGTGTTCACAGCAGCCGTGGACACCGTGAGCGACTGTGACCGTGACGTGGTTCTAACGCCAGGACAAAAGAGGTGAAGAGGAGAAGAAGAAGAAGAAGAAACACAGACGGAGAGGAATGAAGAGGATGACAGAAAGACAAGTCTTTATTTGTCACAGCAGTAATAAAGAAAAGTTTGCAAAATAGAAACAGAATCAAACGGATCGCCCAGAATCACCCTCGTCAAAGCGTCAACAACAAACAAGTCCATTTGGTGTTGGATTTTATTATCTTTAGCTTCAGCTTCAGCACATTTCTGCTCTGTTACTTTTTTAATTCTTCATTTCCTGACACTTCCTTTTTTTTCTTTTTTTTTAACGCAAAGGAAATTGTCATTTTTCTTTTACAGGTACAAGATGAAACGGCACCAGTCTGGTGGCACCGAGCTGTTGAAGTCCAATAAATAAATTGGGCTGAAGTCTTATCTTGATGTGGTGGGGGGGACGTGGGGGGGGGTTCCGGTCAGGTGGTATCAACAATGACAGTAAAGCTAAGCTGATAAAAGCTGAGAGTTTGTGAATTTTTAATAATTGTTTCATCGAGGAAAACCAATCAGCTGAGCTGAGCTGACAGCTGATTGGTTCTTAACTCCTTCAACCAGTCCAGAATTCGCCTTTACGTGGACGAGAAGATGTTGCTGCTACATCACCCGATCTGTACATCTAATCTGGATTATCTGTATACAAGCGACTGAGAGGTTTATTTACACTTGTCGAAGCAGAGGTGAGGAGGAGGAGAAGAGGAGGAGGAGGAGGAGGAGGAGGAGGAGGAGGAGGAGCGAGTGCTTCGTTGTGGGGAAAAAAAAAAAACCGAAAGATAATGATACAGAAACACTGGTCTGTCTCATTGAGCCACTCTCCTGTAGAAGTAGAGGTACCCCAGGTCTTTGGGAGGTTTCTCTGAAGCACAGACCTTCTGGTCGTTGAAGATGACCCACCTGAAGGACAGAGGACGGGGAGGACAGAGAGGACAGAGTCAAAACCAGCAAACCTAGAACACTGGGAGGACAAACATCTTATATATTTATCCTGGAAAAACAGGACATTTTTTCAGTCAAACAAGTCATTGTCACTTCTGATCAAAACAAGTCATCGTCACTTCTGCTCATCATCATCCGCTGCTAACGAGGCCACGGTGAAGTGACTGACGACAAACCTGGGGTTTGCTGCCCCCTACTGACAGATGATGGAGACAAGTAAAATGACTACAGTATCTCTGACTACTGTCTGTAAACGGCTGTGATTGGAGTCTGACTTGAACACCAGGACCAACAGGGTCACAGGTCATTGACCTTGACCCTGGTCCTCTACTACAGGTTAGGTAACCAGCAGCTCATCTCTGTTTTAGGAGAGAGGAGATAAAATCAGTCACTCACTGTTGATCCTTTTTGATGTGACAGACGTAGTGGCCGCACATCGTGCTCGTCCCCATGTGACTGATGAAAGCAATCAGCTCATACTCTGTAATGAACAACAGTAATTAGAGGTTGGTCCGACGACTGAGAATAATCCAGTCACGGTTCATGTTCTTCGTGATCTCCTCTCCATCACTTACTGCCCGCTCCATCTCTGACGTGTGGCCCAGGGGGCGGCTCTCGACCCTCACTCTCTGCAGCGGAGCGCCCTCCCTCAGACACATCCATGGACTCCAGGTCATCCAGGTGAGAGAAGATCCAGTCCACTGCCCTGTCCAGGACGTTACTCTGGGAGACAAACAGGACAGAGGAGACGTTTTATGGAAAAGAAAACCCACGGCTGACGAGGTTTGGACAGAGTTCTGGGGTCTCTGGGGTCGGGGTCTCACCGTGGCCCGAAGTGCTTTGGTCGCCTGGTCCCTGCTGAAGCCCATGGACACGATGGTCGCCAGGTGCTCCTCAGAAATGCTCTCTGTGGGCGTGGTCCCGGGGCCAGAGCTGCAGCCGGGCATAACCAGGGGGGCGGAGAAATCTGCAGCCAATCACAAGCGTGTACTTTTAGTGTCAGGTATTTAATCCCAGGTCGATCCTCAGTGGTTTACACACCTGGATCATCGATGTGACTCATGATCCAGTTCATGGCAGAGTCACTTCCAGTGTTCCCAGTGTAATACACTGCTTTCCTGCAGGCTTCCATGGGGAATCCCATTTCACATAACTGGGAGACAGTGGCGTCGTCCAGCACCGGAGCTGAGAGAGAGCGCAGAGGAAGAGGTGAATAAATTCAACTGTATGATCAGGGCATTTAGGAAAAGGCCAAAAGAAACAAAAAAAAATCCAATATGTGTTGTGATATTTATCAATTTAAATATGGATTGAAAAAAATGAACTAAAGCTAAAACGTCAACTCAAAGTCGTTCAGAATAGATAAACAAACAAAAAGGCAACAGAAGGATTTGAGAAAAGACAAAAAGGCAAAAAAGGAAGAAAAGCAGGAAAAAAAAAGGATGAGAAATTAAAGTGTGACTGAAGAGGAAGAAGAAAAGATCAGAAAAGACAGACAGACTGACACAGCAGTGGGGAGTAGAGTGAATCGTCCTCCTCGTTGCCATGGAAACCCAGGATACCTTTAACCTCCACATCGGGGGTCACCAGTGGGGGCGGGGCCACCTCTGGTAAGAGCTCCTCCCCCGGCTGCTGTCCGGTTGCACGTAACGCACTCAGGTCCAAAGTGTCGGGAACGTCGATGCTCACGTCTGCGAATCAGAGAAATTCAAAACCACGATCACGTCATCAACCACCGACTGTCGACAAGGTTTCACCTTCAGAAACGTAGACTTTATATAAACGGCGCAGGAGGAGTGTGTGTGTGTGTGTGTGTGTGTGTTGTCAAGAATCTGGCTACGATACGATATATTGTGATTTACTGTGATACTATAGTCAGGACGATATATCGAGGTGTTTTATTTCCAAACGGTAGTGCAGGTCAGAGGTGAGTAGATTCAGAGAATCACTAGTTATACTGGTTATGTTTACCCAGTTTTTTAGGAACCCAGTCGAGGCCAAAGGTAAACTTCTTGATCTGTATAACCAGGTGGTCAGGGAACGAGGCGAAGCGTGTTGTTCTGGGAAAACAAACAAACTCATGTTAATACTTTCATTTTTTTTTTTAAGTTTTTTTCTTCTTCTATTTCCGTGTGTTTCTGGTACTTGGTAGCAGTAGTCTTGGCCTGCACGGCTGAGCTCCAGAAGTCTGTCAGGACCTCGGGTTCACTGAGAGCTGCCATGCACGCTGTGAAGGGGATCTGTGCACGCACGGTCAGGGGTGAGAAGTCTCCGCCCTCCTCACGCTGACACTCCGCCTCCTGAAGCTCCTCTGTCGGGGTCAAGTACAAAGACGTCTGTGAGGTTTTATTCAGGTCAAAGATCAACAACATTTTCCGAGGACAATAATCAGGGTAATTGTTGACACGGTCATCGTTGCTGCCTGAATTAGTTACTGTAGCAAAGAAAACTGAATCTGCACCACAACAATCTACTGTGAGCAGGGCTGTAACGCCACCGTGTGGTGAAGATAGGTCACTACAGCACCTGTGTTGACGGCCTGGTCCATGGGCACCGGCAGCTGAATGATGTAATCCACCCGCTGTGTGTACTTGGCCTTTTGTGACTGCTGACACACAATCCTCTCCTCCACCAGGAACCTGAAGGCCTCAGACGGGTTGGGCCCAGAGCGAGAGTTTCTCTGTGGTTCACGGAAAAAAGAAAAAAGATTCGTTAAAAAAAAGAAATAACACAAAGTATCAAGATAGAAAAATAATCATAATAATAATAATAAAGATTAGGATAGAAAAATAATCATAATAATAATAAAGATTATGGCGAGGGATTCTTTACCTCCACCATGTTTATGAAGTGCAATAAAAACTCCTGAGCGTCCTGCTGACGATTGGTGGAGAACTCCGGGTGGCCCCGCCCAACAAGTGCTTTGAACATCCGAGGTGCTATACCGACTTGGTCCCCCTGCAGGAAGAGTGTGAAAAGACACTGAGGACAGGAAGATGGGAGATCATACACACATGGACCACAACCTTCCTCTCATCTTTACATGTTGTACTGTATATGTCATCAGTATTTTCTTTTTCTTTAAGAAAACTCCTTTCTTTACTCTCTGTCTGTGTTAGATTTTGTGGATGTCTCTTCCACAAACTGGTATTTGTCTTTTGCAGAATCAGTTCAACAAGGATTTATGGGTAAATTCTGGCCAAGTCCACGTCTGCTCTAACTAAGAGCGTTCACAGCCACCGTCTCCTCTTACCCTGGGCTCAGACGACTCATTTTCTTCCCCAGGGTCTGGTGCTGGTTTACTGTATTCTCCTGACAAGAGGCCGTAGCCCAGCTTGGCTCTGAAATAATAATAATACAAAAAAAAATCAGACGTGACTTGATACCACGACAGAACAGTCTGACAAACACAAGAAACAGACTTCAACAACATTTGGATGTTTGGACAAGGATTTAACATGGAAATGAGGACACGGTGACCAAAGGGTTTTAAGATCTTACACTTTTACATATAAGGTCATTTTATAGATTATCAAAATTTTAGATTTTATGATAAGAGACCTGGATTAGGGGTGTGCATGGGCAAGAATCTGGTGATATGACACGATACAATATACTGTGATGTAATCTATAACTTTTTACATGGGCAAGAATCTGGTGATATGACACAATATACTGATGTAATATATAACTTTTTTAAAAAAAAGTTGAATATTTAATAATGAGTTTTATGTGGCTTTCAAGTCTTTCACGGTCCAGTTGTGGTCAGAGATCACTGGCTGTGTTCAAACACTCACACTTGAGTCTTGAAGTCCTGCGTGGGGTCACTCGGAGCTTCGTCAATGATTTTGTCGATGTTGGACACATACCTGCAGCGTAGAGAGAAACACGACTCAGTGGGGCTGCTGTGACACAGGTCGGGCCACAGACCTGAGGTTGAAGCCTCAACAAACACATGCCGGGAGTTCAGATGGTATTTTAAGATGCAGGTGCTTCGGTTGAAACTGAAACCATTTCCTGAAGTGTGTGTTTATGAGAACTCACTTGGTCTGGAAGTCCGGAACAGTGAAGAGCACTTGCATGACAGAGTTGAGGTAGCAGCTGTTGCCCAGGTTCTTTATACCAGTCAGTCCAGGGCCGTACAGAGGACGCAGGGTGGTCCCCGACTCCTGGATCACCTCCCACTCACCCACGTGCTGGTTCACAGCGATCTCCAGCTCTGTCATCGTCCGCTCCGTCTGCAAGCAAGAAAGTAGTAGATGGAAATCAAACCTCTGGTGTGGACGCTCCGCACGTTTCTGCAGTTGAGTCGTCCTCTGAGACCAAACCAATGTCTACAAACATCAGTACAGATATCAACACATCTGACTTTGGTGAATGAAGCCTGATATTTGTCTTGCCTTCTCCATGGTCATCATGTCGATGCCAAAGTGACTCAAATGTTCCGGTAACTTGGAATCCAGCACCATGTCGTCCTCGTCGTAGGAAAACACATCTGGACATGAAAACAGTGACCGACGGAGAGAGAAGAAGAAGAAAGTGAGAGAGCAGCCACTGAGGCGCCGCATCATCACAACTGCCTCAGACAACCAATCACAGCTCACCTAGTTCAGTTACTGTTGCTTTAATAATAAACATTAACCTAAAGTCGACCACTGAGCAGCTCTGAGTTAATCAATAAATGTCTAGTTTAAAATGTCATGAGGCTGAAGAGTTGAACTCATCCACTCAGATCCACGTTGCTCTACACCAGTGGTGTCAAACATACGGCCTGGTGGTTTGAGTTTGACACTAAAGGTACATTTCTTGTTATAGTCTACTTCTCCGTACGTGTTTACCTGCTCCATCAGGAGTGATGGTACCCAGTTTGACGGCCAGTGGATATCCCGTCTCCTGGAAGTGAAGAAGGGCGTGGTTGTTGCCCCCAGTGCCATCGAAGTATCTGCGGCCACACAGCACCTTGCCATCTGTCAGGTTCATCCACAGGTTCTCCTGGAGGTCGCAAACGTCACAGCGCCAACCGCTGTAACGCAACACAGTAAAGGTGAGGGAACGTTCTGTCACCAACGATGACGAGACGACATTTATCACAGTAGAAGGTGAACGTAAACACCAGATGGTTGTGTGACTGCGTCTTCACCTTGGTGGGATCTTGAGCCCGTTGTCGAGCTGTTTAAGTTCAGCAGCATGTCTGGACTCCTGTCTCACTTCTCCGTCCCACTGTTGAACTTGTAACGTGTGAGACACAGAGTCGGCGGCCATGATACCAGCCATGGACAGGGACACCTGTCAGAACACAAAAAAAAAACAAAAAAACAATGTTGAGTGTTTGAAGACCAAAATGTACCAAAAGCATTTCATTATTAGTATAAAAAAATAAACAGGATGATTACTTAAAAATATAAGAATGGATTTTAAAACAATTATGACATTTGTGACAAGCTGATGCAAAGAAGTGCATTTAGAACTCATCATTTTTCAGCAGATGCATTAAATATGAAAAATAATTTATTTCTAGACTGTTGTTAAGGTAACAGAAGGGAAAAATAAAGGATTCCTCACCCGCTCCTTCACAACATCAGGCATGTTGTTAAGGTCCTCTGACGTCACTTCCTGTCGGTCAGGTAGAATCACCACCTTTATATCCTCGTCATACTGTTCTTGCTCCACATCAAAGCCTCCTTCGATCCCTGGACAAATCAGAATCGAGGCAGAACATCAGTCTGGACACTAACTAACCTGGTTTACTTTACTTTAACAAACTTGATTAAACTAACCTGGTTTACTTTACTTTAACAAACAATTATTAATTTATTAAAAACATCGTTTCCTTTAACAGACTCACCGATGGCCAGCCTGGTGGGCTTCTTCTTTGGTGGGTGTCCAGAGGCAGAGTTAGCATCATCTTCCTTCTGCAATAAAACACAAGATAGATGTTTAGTTGAAATTGAAATTCTGAACCAAGAACATCAACAATGATGTTTAGTTGAAATTGAAATTCTGAATCAGCTTCATTGACCAAGAACATCAACAAAAACAAAACATTCAACTCATGGATCTTTTTTTAATCTGAATTAATTAACATCTGATCCATTTCTGGCAGTCAGAACCAGATGCTAGATCAGTGTTACTCTGACAAGTGGACACGACCAAAGTGGACTGAAGAAATAATAATAATAATAATAATAATAAAACAGCCCAGTTTTTACCTTTGACTTTCGGGTCCTGGTGATGTGCAGGTACGCCCTCTGACCAGACCTAGCACTGTGTCTGTCCACATACTGGCTTCCAAAGCCCAGGAAACTGTTCATACACAGGTACAGGCCTCCTTCACTTTCCATAATAATCAACAAGGTGATGATGATGATGATGATGATGTGAGAAACTGTTTGTACCTTCGCCATCAAAACACAACAAAACAGTTTCACTTTGAAGGAAGAACCGTGGAAGTCAGTAACCCTGGAAAAAAACATGTTAATTCAACCATGAGTCGATTTTTCCTGAAGAGATTTTATAAAGCTGAAAATTCTATTACATTTTTGTAGCATCAAATTAAAGTCACTCTAAGAACGTTGAATTCGCAAAGGTGACATTTGAATATATATTATCACTGACTATTTATACAGGACACAAATCAGTTCGACAGAGGTTGGATAATAATCTTACTCCATAAATAATAACACGTTCCTGGATATTTAGAACTAATTTTCACGATAAAATAAAGACGTGTTTTCAGCCTGTCCAAACACAAGAACAACTCATTCAGATTTATTTCTAGCTACTTTGACAGCAAATGCTAACGAGGGCAGCTAATAAGCTAGGCTAACTTTCCGTTGCACTACAATACACAAGCTTAGCTTGACGCTAGCCAAACAGCTAGCTTATTTAGAAATATGTAAGAAGCCAGCGCATAAAGTTAAAAAAAAAAAACACCGTCACATTTATATAACACAGAAACAGCACAAGACGGTAGGAAATAAAACAGACAACAAACGTCAGCTGACGTTTCGATTCGTATAGGAATGAATGCTCACCGGCGAGGCAAATGACAAGGCGCATTCGTCTTTGTGGACTCGGTCTCCGGGTTTTGGAACCCGAATTGTAGACAAAACCGACATCAAAACCTCACCAACATCCGCCATGGCTACCTAGAAAATCCTGCGTTTCAGCGGGACACTTGCTACCGTCAGTACAGCCCGCAGTCTCTTGGTGCACCGGCTCAGAGGAGTTCCCGTGGTCGAGTCCGTCTACTGGTGTCTGTGATCGACTGAATGAATCATGGGACGGTGCCTTGTGTTCAACGCAGGCCGATTGAACTCCTGAGCTCCGCACAGCGACGGACGGAGCCTCTGTACCGTAATCTGTGGAATACGAGCACCTGTTAGATTCTTTTAAAGAGCATTGACAAATTCACCCTGAGCGAACTCAACAAAAAATCCTTTGAATCCTTTCGAATTTATTTTTGAATATATTTCTTAATATATTTCTTTTCATTGAATAAAACAATGTTTCTTCCTTCTTTTCTTGCCCTTTTTACAATGTTTCTTCCTTCTTTTCTTGTCCCTTTTTCCTCTTCTGTTGTTTCATCAATGTTTAAAACGAATGTCTGAGGAGAACGATCGAATTTTCCATGTTTATCTCAACTAAATCGAAATTCTATTTTGAATACAGTCGAAAGTAGAAATTCCAGAAACTTCCAGATATTTTCTTTTCTTTCCAGTATTTTATTTGATCCACACCATGTGTTTCCCATTTTAATTATCATTTTTACACTTCGTCGTCAGCCTTTTTTTCCATTCCCTCTCATGGACGTTAACTCGTTTACAGTGACGTGTCTCACGTTGTCAAACAACATTTGTCCCCAACGATGGGTCGATGGGTAAATGCAGAGGGTACAGTAAATCCTGGGGCATCAGTTATTGCCACACTCATCAAATCTGCCCTCCTCAAACTCGGAGAGACTTTCTTTTCCTCCCCCTCACATTAACATAGTCCCTCCTCCTCCTCCTCCTCCTCCTCCTCCTGGTCTCCCTGCTCCGGCTCTTCCTCCTGGTCCTCCCTCGGTCTTCTCCTCTGGTAGACCATGGCCGGGCTCCTGGCTCACCCCCGTGTGTACGTGGCGTTTCTTTGGGCTCTTGCAGCGTTCCTTCGTGCCACAGCGGCGACCCCGGGGTCGGTGGGCAGCGCCAACGTCCTGTCCCTGCTGCAGCCCTACGACCTCATGTACTACAGCGGGGTGCGGGCGTACTTCGGTAAGGAGTGGGCGAAGGCGGCGGAGCTGCTGGAGAAGTCCCTCCTGACCAAGGAGACTCTGCTCCGGGTCCGCAGACTGTGTCACGACCAGTGTGAGGCGGCGGGGGCAGAGAAACTGGACAAACTGGGCAAGTTGAACTGTGTGTGTGTGTGTGTGTGTTTTTAGACCAGTGGTTCTCAAAATGTGGTATGCGTACCATTGGGGTACTAGGGCTCCATCTTGTGGGACTCGAGTGCTACTGCTTGATTAGTTTGTAGTTATACTGATCCTGCCCCCCCCCCCTCGTTTTCTTACCCCTCTGTTTTGCCCCCCCACTGATTCTCCTCTCTGATATGATGGAATATATTCCTATTAAAATTAATTACCCCCACACAGGGTAACGTTACATTTGAAACATGTTTGTGAGCAAGAGCTAATGGTGCGTTCAAGTTGTTCACGAAAGTCGGAATTTTCCTACTGTTCAACTTAAACAAGGAATTATACTGGAAAAAAAAGGAAAGAATCTGAGACATAAAAATATAAAACACAAATATAAATAAAACTATAGAAATAGAAATTGTTACGTTAAGGTTGTTATTATTATTATTATTACAGTATAGTGGTATTACTGACCCCCCCGCCCCCCCCCCCAGTGATGATAGTCTTATGAATTAATATTCAAATATTTCTAATATTGAACTTGTTCCGTCGTGTACTCACTTCCGCCCCCTGCTGTTGTATCATCAGACTCAGAGGTGGGGGGCATGTGGGACCTCTGGGCCCTGGACTGGGTGCAGCTGAAGGCCGAGTGTCTGAGGTTCTGCGTGGGACGCTACGTCAGCCCGGCGGGACAACTTCCTGTGTCGTCAGACATAGAGTACGAGTTTGGGACTCGGAATCCGTACAACTTCCTACAGGTCACCTACTACAAGGTGAGGCGTTCAACACCAGCTCAGAAATCACAGCACCTGCTTCGGCTCCCTGTCGTCTTATTACAGATTTCTCTCTTCTTCTTCTTCATCATCATCATCATCATCAGTTGGAAAAGCTGCAGAAGGCGGCGTCGGCAGCTCACACGTACTTCGTGGCCAACCCCAGTCACCTGGAGATGAGGAACAACATCGAGAAGTACAGGAGGATGGAGGGAGTGACGGACGAGGACTTCCTGGACAGAGAGATGGAGAATGAGAAGCACTGGGTGAGGAGAGGGGGGGACGGGGGGGACGGGGGGTTATTTAACGTCCCATCCAACTGATCCTGGACCAGCCTGGACCTCAGTGATGATTCACCTTCACGCAGCAGGGTCTTCAGACTGGGACGTGTCTGAACTCATGTGTTCAGTCCTGTCAGAAAAAAAACGCCTACGTCAATGCACGGCTGTGAGTTCATAAAACTGAAAATAAAAAAAGAATTTGAAGAATTCACAACTTTAAAAAACATGTTGATAAAATACATTTGATACTAAATGAACCATTATACAACTGTCATTAACGATGACGTCACCAGACATATAAATATATTTTTCCAAACTGCTGCTGGACTGATTTTCTGTTCCAACCACAGAAACCTAGACATTTTCATAGTTTGTTACGTTTGTCAAGTGTTAATGTGTTAATGTTAGTATCTATGAAGAAACATGTCTGACCAGCCGCTGCCTCAGGGGTAAATTCCACTCCTTTTCACTTTTACTTTCTGCTCTGTGGTTTAGACTCAGTCGCCAACATTTTCAAGACAAAAACCAGTGTTTTATATAAACACTATTCACAGTTTTGTTTTAATTTTCTTACCAATGAGCAGATTCATCTAAAGACCAAGGTTTTCTTGTGTTCTGACTGAGGCTGATCCTGATTGGTTCTTAGGTCCACTACGACGCCGCGGTCCAGTCCGAGGCCTCGTCCGACTGGACCAGAGCTGCCGACAGGTGGAGGGAGTGTGTGAACGAAACGCTGCGGCAGACGGAGGAGTGCAGGGTGCAGTGTGACACGGCCTCCCAGAAGCTGCCCGAGGACAGGGGGGTGGACAGTGTGGGGGGGGTGTTTGAGAAAGCAGCAGGTAAGACTGGACGACTGCAGCCTGGTGTTTTTGTCGTCGTCGTCTCCTTCTTCTTCTGTGACGATGAGGCTCTCTTCCTTTTTCCCCTGGCAGCTCTGTCTCTCTCCCTGCTCTCGTGTCGACAGTCATGTGTGACTCAGGTGGCCACACGACCTGGACGGATTTCAGCTCAAGAGGACTTCCTGCCCACACAACTGGAGCATCTGCACATAGCTCAGTTTAAAGGTCAAACTTTAACCTCAACATCCATCCATCCATCCATCCATCCATCCAACCATTCACAACGACATTCACAACCATGGTCAGTCCAGAGTGAACAGTTCAGTCCATCATTTATGGACCAGGACCTGAAGAACACAGAACAAACCTTCTCATCTTTCACACTGTAAAAAATAATAAATTACAATTATTCATTACATCAAAAATAATTTTAACTTTTTGACACTGTTATAGCCTGGCATTAGTGCATTCCCCCCCGGCAGAGTTCAGGAGTAGATGGTGATAATGAAGCATAGAAAATGACTATATTTAAATATTTGTTGGTCAATTAATGGATCACTGTCAGATTAACAATCATCTCACAATCATTACAGCCACAGAAACAACAAATGGACAAATTATTATTATTATTTTTAAGTGTTCATCTTTTACATTTTCTCCCAAACAGCTGGCGACGTTAAAGCAGCAGTGCAGACTCTACGCTCTCTGCTGCTGTTTTACCCCAAAGACAAGGACTCTTTAGACAACCTGCAGTTCTACTTTGAGACACTTGAGGGCGACAAAGCGTCACAAGAAACCCAGGCTGCTCAGGTTCAGTAGTGATTTAAGGCATTTGTGACTTTTTCCACTGTAATTGTCCTTAGTTTGAAGTGTTAAATAAATGGAGACATAAAAGTGTAAATGCAGAATTAAAGGAAAGCCCCGTGAATTTTCACTTCAGTGTTTTTCGTCCATGTGTTTCACAGGACATGGTCACGTACGTCAACCGCTCGTTGCAAGAAAAAAAGCTTCTGTACTTTGGCATGGAGAACATGGGCTTCACTTTCACTGACCCAGTAAGTGCTGACACCAGGGCACATGTGTTTAAGACAAACACGCATGAAATACATGAACACACTCACTGATGAAGGCTGAATACTCGGTACTCCTTGTAGGATCTTTGGACTCCAGAGGACGTTGTCCCAGAATCACTGAGAGACGTCTGGAGGTGAGACAAACACAAAAGACAAGGTGTTCATTAAGTGGAGCATGAAGCACAGAGTTTAGAAGTATTTTTGTTTCACTTTTAGAGCAGAAAAGGACAAAATGAACGAGAGCCTAAAAGACGGCGTGCAGCAGGACGAAGTGGACGCCAGCGGATTTTATGCAGGTCAGACTTTTTAAAACTGCCCTGGGGTGACACTCATTACCCTGCCCCGTAAAACCACCCCTGTTACCTGTGTCTGCAGGTGGTCCAGTCCCTCAGGTGGGCGTGACCATCACCATGGATGACGAGCGCATGAACGGGACCAACCGTGTGGTACTGGATGGCGTGATGACAGAGAAGGAGTGCGGCAGCATCCTGCAGCTGGCCACAGTGAGTTCACCTCGGTCCGGTCAGATTTTAGAACTCCACACCAGGAACAGTCTGGACTTCCATTTCCTCTTCTCCCTGATAGGCTGCAGCGTCAGCTGGAGATGGTTACCGGGGGCGACGCTCTCCGCACACGCCACATGAGACGTTTGAAGGCCTGACTGTGCTCAGGGCCGTGAAGGTAGACACACATGAAGTACAGCAGTCGTGGTGTAATTAACAACCACCCCCGACTGTTTAACAGCCACTGTAAAAACGACGTCTCTTTCTTTGTTGTAAATTTATCATTTTAGGGGGGCAGTTGTAGCCCGGGGCAGTTCTTGTGTTGTGGTTCTCATGTATTTTCATATAAGACGTGACGTGAGTCCAGGTTTTAAAAACATCGACGTCGAGGTCAACTGCTGAAATTCATCCACTGAGGAAAAACTAAATAAACACTAAAGTATCAAAGTTTTAAATCCAATGTCAACTTCCTTCCTCCAGTTGGCTCAGGACGGCCTGGTCAACCAATCAGATGCCAAGCTCTTACATGAACTGGGGGAGAGGGTTCGAGTTCTGCTGCACTCCTACTTCCGGAGTCCCTCAGACCTCCACGTCTCTTTCACACACCTGGTCTGTCGTAACGCCGTCCCAGGTGTGGACCGCCGCGAGAGACTCCATCGTCTCAGCTCAGACTCCGATGTTTTTAAACTGAAACTTTTAAACTTGGCTGTGATTCTGTAGGTGACCAGGAGGGCAGATCAGACCTGTCCCACCCTGTCCACGTGGACAACTGTCTCCTAGAGCCAGAGACCAAACAGTGCTGGAAGGAACCACCGGCCTTCATACACCGAGACCTGAGGTGTGTCGACGTTCTTCCCTCAGGAACAAACGCTCTCTACGTCGTGTTGATTTTCTGCTCTGTTTCCGTCTCAGCGCCGTTCTCTACCTGAACGACAACTTTGAAGGTGGTGACTTGTTCTTCACCAGCCAGGACGCCAAGAAAGTGACAGTGAGTCATTTTATTAACCTTTGACCCCTGGTTGAAACAGAAAAGAAAATACAAATAAATACTAATCAAATTAGATCAACTGAAGACTAAAAAACAAGAAAATCAAAGTGATGAACTGGTGACGTGTCCCCCCCCCAGGCTGAGGTCAAACCCAGATGTGGTAGACTGGTGGGCTTTTCCTCCGGTCCGGTGAACCCCCACGGTGTTACCGCAGTGACCAGCGGGCGGCGTTGCTCTCTTGCCCTGTGGTTCACAAAGGACAAGTTCTACAGGGACATGGTGAGCACGACAGTGATCCGGGTGTCATCCGGGTCACATGACCCCACACTGGGGAAACTGTTGTGTTAACAGCAGATCTGCTACAACAGGCTGCCCCCTGGAGGCGCCAACTATGTGGTTCCTCTGGGAATCGAGCCCAGGACTCTCTATACTCTAAAACCACTTTATTTACATTTTTAAGCTGTGATGAATGAGATTAAATAGCATTAACGAATCACTCGTCTGGATCTTTCTCTGCCCCTCAGGAGCGGGAGGAGGCCGAGGCTCTGTGGGCCGCAGACGGACAGAGCGTGGTGAAAAAGGACGAGGACAAGTCAAAGGGCAGCGGCGCCAGGAACGCTCGGAGTCAAGCGTCTACGGAGAGGAGCAGGGGCAGAGGCAGAGTGACGGGGGGCAAAGACGAGCTCTGAGACATCAACAAATCCTCAGGACCAGTCATCAAAGGAGGGGGGGGGGTGTTGTTCATGTACATACTGTATTTATGATGAAGATAAGTGAGGAAGACACTGACGTGGGTTTGGTCTGTTCTTCTGATTCTGTGGCGTTTACTGACCGATGTCGATCAGGGGGGGGGGGGGGGGGGGTGTTGTTCATGTACATACTGTATTTATGATGAAGATAAGTGAGGAAGACACTGACGTAAGTGAGGAAGACACTGACGATTCTGTGGCGTTTACTGACCGATGTCGATCACTCCAAAAATGAAGAGAATAAAAAAGTGACTTTTCACCAGTGTCATATCTAAAATATATTCATATTCATATATGTTCCATCTGAACATCAGTTCCTAACTCTGGAACAGAGGGATCTACATTTGGAATCACTAAGAAGAAAGAAAAGAACAAGAACATGAACCAACACCAGGAATATTGGAGAAAATCAAGAACTGATCAATTACTGAGGAGATTGATACGGGATCAGGAGAGGACAGATGAGGAGAGGACAGATCAGGAAAGGACAGATCAGGAGAGGACAGATGAGGAGAGGACAGATGAGGAGAGGACAGATGAGGAGAGGACAGATCAGGAGAGGACAGATCAGGAGACACTTCAGTGCGTTGATACTGGAGTGTTTCTTTGTTCTACTGTGAGGTTCAACCACTGCAGCAGAATGTGGAGTTTTACACCTCGAGTGAAAACAGGTGGTAAAATGTTTTAGAATTATTCACAAAAACAGTGAGAATGGGTGAGACTACGTCAGCACAGTTATCAGCAACCAGACACTAAGTCAGTGGGAGAGGGAGGAGTGGGGTGAGGAGTGGGGGCGCCAGTGGAAATAGAAATAGAGAGATTACTGTTAATCCAGCATAAATGAGTGCATTTGTTTATGAGGCTTAAAAATGTCTCCCATTTTGAATATGGATTAATAATCCAGCCACGGATCATTTAATCATTCACGTCCAGTGGAGTAACACTTAACCACCCACTTCCACCTCCCATTACAACCAGTGCACCCCCTCCTCCTGAACCCCCTCCTCCCCCCTTCAGACTCACCCACCCCCCCACTCTGTTTTCGTCTCATGCATTAGGTACTGACGCGGGTTCTGTCCATGGCCCGTGTTAACACGGACTGCTCCTGTGTTATAATCCATCAGTGGAACAGAATTGGGTCAGAGCGACTGTTCTAATGGAGCCCGGGTTTTAACCTCTTCCCTCCCCTCACACTCTAACACCGTTCAGCACCCTAAAAAAAAAAATATATATATATATATCTGTATTAATCGGCCTTTAAGTCGGTGTCTGTGTTGACTACGAGCTTTTTTTTTTTTTGCATATTTTGTATGACAACTTGAAGTTATGCAAACATTAGCAGCTTCACTTCTACCTGTCGATTTTCCTGTCTCATTATTCATTCATTATTCCACTTTCCTGGGGGGAAAAAAAAGAAGAAACTAAATAACATTGTGAGGGTTGATGTCTGTGCCTGAAGCTGACGCGTCACTTCGTCACTTCTTTAATCCCCGTCTGTTTTTAGAAAGTGTTCTTTATCCTCAAAAAACAAAGTCGACGGTTCTTCAAAACTATGTATTTCAACTCAGGTTTTTGTTTACGACTTTATTAGGATTCACCAAAAGAATTGTCGTATAAACAGTTTAACTCCTGTTTGTTTACATTTCTGCTACGATCTGACAAAACTCACTGTTTACGTCCATTTCCTTCACCATTTCTCTACCGGTTCCTGCTACAGTACGTACACGATATTGACGTACGCACAATACACCGGAAGTGACATTATTATTCAACGGTAGCGTTTTTAAAAATTATTTTATGGACACATTCTTAAACTAGCTTGACGTTTGTCATACACACAATATCGTTCTCGCGAGAGGTCTGTGAGATCAGGCCGGTGGCGCGAAGAGTAAATTCACTGCTGTATTAAAAAAAATTCCGACGTGTAAAATAGAAGAAATAGGAGTTTAAAAAACGATTTCGTAAAGGTAAACTAAAACATCAACGACTAAATGTGGTCAAATATCAGACGTAAATCACACAGAAAACACCAGACAGTAAACAAAAAACAACAAAAATGTCGTAGAAAAACTCACTTCTCCTCCTTTTTCTCCCAGTCAGTAATATATGAAGGTAAATTACCTCAAAGTTCTCCGTCAGCCAGAAGAATTGAAGAGGATTTTCACCGGAGAAACGTTCAAAGACAGAACTTAACGAGACACAGGTGCAGAGGAGCAGCGTGATGGGCCAGGTTGCCAGATCTGTCCAGATAAACAAGCAACCAGGTCCAGAAAACCAAAACAAAATATCACCGTGGAAGACAAAGAAGTCACTTAATTCACACATGTTGTTGCACCAGTGTAGCATTTGATATAATCCAAATATTATAAATTTATAAAAAATAAATTATTATTATTTAATGACATGAACTGGAGCCATTGTGATTCATCATTTATTAAGAGAATTGTGCACGGTTTTAAAAGGCCATGTTTCTGAGAACAGATCATCAGATAATTCAGGCCTGTCATTATCGATGGTAAATGATATTGTTAGAACAACAAGCACAAAGGTCAAAGGCCACGGTGTGTTCCAGAAAACACAGAAGGCAGGAAAGAACCATCGATGTGAAGGATGTTGTTGACGATGATGTGGGAGGAGCCTAACGACTGATGCAAAAACACAAACAACAAAGTATATTTTCAAGAGACGAAATATCAGTAAAATCAAATTATGTTTGAATGTAAAAATAAAATCTAACTTTCCAGTAGCATTTCATTGATTTGGAATTAACACTTTTAAAGAGGCTAAAAGTCTCTTTGTGTTGATGTTGTCGTTGCCTGGCAACAGTGTCCAGCGGCGTGAATGCTAGCACACTCACTCACGGCTACAAATCTGTTTTTACTTTGCATGTGTGCAGTTTTTGCATGTTTGACCAACGTCCGTGTGTATCTTCCTCTGGACAATTGACCTTTCAGAGGTCACGGACTCTGACTGCGTCTGTTCGATGAAGAGGTGGATTTTTCCGACTCAACTTGTTGGGTCTGTGTCGGTCACACGTCCCACGTCCGTTCTGTTGTACTGTACTAACTTTTACACAGTAGCATTTGGGTCACATGATTTCCAGGGTGTGACCCCCCCTCCCCGGTGACCCCCCAACTCCCCAGCAGTGACCCCAGGAAGGACTGAGGTGTAGAAGAAGAATGATCCTCTGATCTGATCTAATATTAGCCTCACTTCATGTTTACAAAATAAAAGCCTTTCTTCCAGTCTCTGGACCTGTACCATATAAAGTCATGGTCCCTGGTCCCCCCCCCCCCTCGACCCTCCACCCTCGCCCCTCCATGATTTCCATCTCTTGGTTTTGATTCTGATTCACCCAAACACACACGTCCTCCTCCACCTTTTGTTACACCCCCTGCCCCTCCCTCTGCCCCACCCTCGCCCCCCCACTTCACTTTACTCCCTCCTACTTTTTTCTCTGCATCCCAGCCTTTATCCCTTCATCACTGATCTCCTTCATCCCTTCAATCCTCATCTGTTCTTCAGTGGACGGAGTGAGTGACGGAGGAATAACTCGCTGCTCGACTCGAGACAACGACCAGGGAACGGAGACGAGAACCAGTGACTGAAGATCTACGACGCACCTGAAGAGGAGTCGCCCTGATCGGTGAGTGACAGGAACTTACTTTCATGGTACTGTTTGTCAACCATGTCCTGATCTTTATGATCTTTATATTTACATATTTACATATACACATTTGTCATGTTATGATAATGTCAACTTAAACTCTAAAAACTTTTATTCCTTGGTCAAAAAGCTGAAAACTTCTGACCTGCCATTGATTTATCAACAATGGTCCAGAAAGAAAACACTTTAAAACTCAATTTGTGACATAGTTTATAAACATATTCATATATATGTATATATATATACATATATATGTATAGACTAAGCAAAGTTTTATTCATCCAGTTTCCACAGACATAAAAGTATTTTCTAAATATTCTGATCAGATCAGACGACTTTCCTAAAACACTGAGGTCCAACAGTGGGCTACATTAATGGACCGGGACATGGAGACCAGGACCAGGACTGTGGTTGTCTGAATGTTATGTGTGATTTCTTTTTGGTATATGATTCTTTTTTTAAATTTTATTCTAATCTACTGCGTGGCCTGGATTAGCCTCGTTAATCTACTGACATTTTAATTATGGGAGAAAATAAAAAAAAGTCAGACGACTGTGTTGTTTTAGACAAATATGAATAACGTTCCACTGGGGGGGGGCACTTAATTCAACAACCAACATCTGGGGGTCACATGCAGTACATGCAGTACATAACCCAGTACTACGACCTTTGTACAGTTTACGCCTTTCAGTTTTGGCTGATTCTGGACCTCAGGTTTTGACGTCGGCCATGTTGGTCTGTAGGAACCCAGAGTATCAGTGACAGTCATCAAACCACCTTCCAGCATATTCCACGTTTCCTCCTCCCCCTCCATCTGCCCCCCCTCCCCCTGCCCCTCCCCCCTCTGTCTGCCCCCATTCTTTGCTCCATCTCTGATCCAGATGCAAAGAGCAGTCAGTAATCGGATGAGAGCAGATTTGATTCAAAAGGCTTCCCTTAAAATCTGAGCCAGCAGGATTTAAAAATCACTCTCGGCCTCACCCCCCCCGCCTCACCCCCGACCCCCCCGCCTTCTCTGTCTGTGTTAATGGACTTCACCATCCAGTGAGCTCCAGCCGTCATTTAATCACCTGAAACAATGGCAAAAAGGCTAACGACACAAATACGCCTTCACTCATCACAGCGCATTATCAAAGCACCCCCCCCTCACCCCGTCTGGAACCAAGACCTGAAACGCCCTGACCCCAGCATCAGTGCAGGTCTAGGTTGGGTTCTAGTTGAGGGTCATGAGGTACAGACAGCAGAGTGGAGAGAAAACGGTGGAACATGAACTTCAGTGTTTCTGTTTTACAGTTTAAAAGCTGAAGAAACAGACACAAAATATCATGACAAGTACTGCGCAACATGGATTTCTGCTCCTATCAATGGTTCACAAATGAGAAGCACTGAGCTAATACCAGGGGTCGGGGGGGCACTACCCAATGCCGTCCAATAACTGCATTGTACTTGTCATGGTATTTTGAGAAAAAAGAAAAACAACTGACGCATCAGTTTGTTTTTCTTCCTGCTCACCTCAGACAGCAGTGGTAAAAAATAATATGTTTATTTTTATCATCAGTCTGACCAACAATTACAACAAACTCTTCCCCCTCACACCCTCACCCTCACCCTCAGCCTCAGCCTCAGCCTCACCCTCACCCTCACCCTCACCCCTTCCTCTCCCTGTAACTTTAAACAAATTAGAAGCAAATTCATGTGTTTTGACAGCGACTCACATTCAAATACTTAAAGTGTGTGAACGAGAGAGAGAGGGAGAGAGAGAGAGAGAGAGAGAGAGAGAGAGAGAGAATTGCTGCAGGGAAACAAACAGTGGAGACATCACAGGTTTCTGCTCCAGAACTTTTGAAGGTAAGAGAAATACGAGGCGCCGACGGTTCACAGGACGGTGGAGGGTTTTAGTTCCTGATGCCACAGTGGAACGAGTGTCTGTGGTTTTATTGAAGTGTCAGTTTGTCACACGGTCTGAGTCCATTACTTAATTGATTCAGTGTGAAAAAAAAAAAAACAACAACAACCAAATCGTCACTTATTTAATGACGTTATCAAATCCAAAAGCCCTCAACGTCGGTGGACCATGAGGTGAAAACTCCCCGGTCCGTGTGTGTACTGTGTGTGTGTGTGTGTGTACTGTGTGTGAAGTATTTGTTGTGAACTGGGAGCCAATACACTAATGACATTAGCCTAGCTACAGGACATACTGGTTTGTGTGTACATTCAGGGTGAGGATGTGTACTTTTAAATTTATCTGAACAGCAAATACTTTAGCTGCTAATGTCATGCAGGAATATTCATGCAGTCTGCTTATTACTGTGTGTGCGTGTCTGTGTGTGTGTGTGAGTGTGTTCATAGAGGCGTGTTTTATGGGTTTCTGTGTGCTCCTGCGTGTTCGTAGTTTGCAAAGCAGACGACGGCCAGTTTGACTTGCAAAACTGAGAGGCTGAGGTTCTGGAGCTGCTGCAGGTGCAGACGTCAGGCACTGATCGCTCTCTCACCAACACCGAGGTACGCGTCACTGCCTGGTTTTTTTTTCTCTCCTTTTTCAGTGATTCACAGGTCACACCTGTCTGACCCCGGTCTCTTCTCTGCAGGGTCATCCACGTCGCTGTCAAACTTCTCCTGTCTGTCACTCAGCCCACAGATCGTCACCATGGGGGAGATGGAGCAGCTGAGGAAGGAGGCGGACAACCTGAAGGACCAGATCACGGTCAGTGGGCCTGGATCAGAACCACCGATGAGTCTGTTTCCGCTCTGGAAACAGACTCATCGCTCTCTCCCGTTCGTCTGCTTCACAGGCCGCTCGTAAGGCAGTGCAGGACACCACCCTGCAGGAGGCAGCGGCGGGGGTCAGCGTGGTGGGCCGCGTCCAGATGAAGACCAGGAAAACACTGAGAGGCCACCTCGCCAAGATCTACGCCATGCACTGGGGCACGGACACCAAGTAAACACTCCACACACGGTTCACGCCCGGGATTTACTTCACAGCTAAGATACCACTTTGTTGTTGGGACCTGGGGGTCGGGGGGGGGCTTTAAATCAGAGAGGGAGGAGACGATTGAATTTAAATGAGAAAATAACATCAATAAAGTTGCTCAAAACCGGTGGTTCCCACATTATGGGGCGGGGCCCTGCAGGAGGCACGGAACCATTGAGTAAAGTTTGGGAAAGTCTTGAACAGGTAGTGTCACCTGTCTGCCCTGCAGGGGGCGCTGTAACTGTATTTTATATATTTGTTATTTGTTATTGTGATACAAAAAAATGAGAACTGATTCTGTTTGAGTCTCACTACTGCCACCACCAGGTTCTGTTCCACCTGGAAACATTCTCAACCAGAAAACTTTAAAAAACAAAACAAAAAAAATTTAAAAGAAGAGCATGAAGAGAAAATGCCAGCAGAGGGCAGCATAGGTCATTATTCAGATGGCCTACATTTATTTCAGGTTTTGGAAAACAACAACTGACACGTGACTTTTCTTCTAACCACCGTCAACTCTGCTCCTTCAGGTTGTGTGTCAGCGCGTCACAAGACGGAAAACTGATCGTGTGGGACAGCATCACGACCAACAAGGTAAACAAACGCCAACAGGAAGTCCAGCTGTAATTAGTGTGAATGACAGCGTGAATGGTTGTTTGTCTACATGTGAACTGGACTGGAGACCTGTCCCGGGTGTAAACCCCGCCCCCAACAGACGACAGTTGGGATTGGTTAGATGGTCTGTGTTCAGTAGGGGGCGCTGACCTTGTTTCTGACCTCAGGTGAACGCCATCCCTCTGAAGTCGTCCTGGGTGATGACCTGCGCCTACGCACCGTCAGGGAACCTGGTGGCGTGTGGTGGACTGGACAACATGTGCTCCATCTACAACCTGAAGGGCAAAGACGGGAACGTCAAGGTCATGCGTGAGCTGGCGGCGCACACAGGTCGGCCTCGGGTTCCATCAAAGTGTTTTAACGTTTTTACATTTTCACGACTGTTTCATGTTCTTCTAAAAAAAGACGTTTTTTTTGTTAAAATCACAACTTTTTGACTGTGACGTGAACTGACGTTCTGTTTGGGGATCGGTTCTAAACCTCTGGTTCCTCAGGTTACCTGTCCTGCTGTCGTTTCCTGAGTGACACTGAGATCATCACCAGCTCCGGCGACTGCACCTGGTCAGAATCTCGGACTGTTGTGGGCGGGTGGGGGGTCAGGGGGCGTAGATTTTCCACACATCTGCAAGTCTGACCTTTGACCTGTCCTTGTTCTCCTTCAGCGTCCTGTGGGACATTGAAACTGGAACCCAGAAGACCATCTTTGCGGGACACCAAGGAGACTGCATGTCCCTGGCCGTGTCTCCAGACTTCAGGTTCTTCATCTCGGGGGCGTGTGACTTCACAGCCAAGCTGTGGGACATCAGGGAGGGCACGTGCAGGCAGACGTTCGGAGGCCACGAGAGCGACATCAACGCCATCGGGGTAGGGGTCAACTGTGACTCACAGCCACTGCAGCACTAGACCTAGTCCACCAGGGTGCACCAGAGATCATTCCTGTGAACTCCGCTCTGTTAGAGTACAAAAATACTACCTCTGCTGGTCATTTGTGGTAATACTCTCTTGGGGAAATAATCTGATGTAGCTCTTTGAACCTGTTAGCTTCACAATGACAGTTGACTGTACAACAGTTCACCACTAGGGGGCCACAAACCTCTCTGCTCCTGACATTTGTACTGATACGTTTCCAAGAAGAACTCGTTTTAAATCCTGTCTTTTTTCCCAGTTCTTTCCAAATGGCAACGCTATAATCACCGGGTCGGACGACGCCACCTGTAAACTGAACGACCTGCGGTCCGACCAGGAGCTCATCACCTACCAGGACTCCAGCATCATGTGTGGGGTCACTTCCCTGGCGCCCTCCCTGTCTGGACGTTTGTTACTGGCTGGTTACGACGACTTCAACGTCAACATCTGGGACACACTCAAGGCCGAGAGAGTGGGTGAGTAAAAACAAAAACGTCTCTGTCTGGACGGAGAGAGATGATTGGTGAAGGTCACTGTGTTTTACCAGCAGTAACACACCAACCACAGTTTGAGAACCAAGTGGAGATTATTCTATTATTTCATTGTATTACATCGGCTCTTGACATTTATTTACATGAATTTACATGAATATATTTGTATTTAACTCTAAACCAGAATAATAATAATAATAATAATGATGATTGTTATTTTATTATTATTATTATAAATAATTCTAAAAACCACAGCGTCCACAGAAGTACTCCCAGTACTAGTGAAGTACCAGAGTGAAACTGTGTTTTCTTCCTCATGGTGGCGCAGGAGTGCTGGCAGGACACGACAACAGAGTCAGCTGTATCGGGGTGTCCTCGGACGGCATGGCCTGCTGCACGGGATCCTGGGACAGTTTCCTGAAGATCTTTGTTATTTTATTAGAGAGAGAGAGAGAGAGCGGAGGAGGAGGAGGAGCAGGGCGGAGGAGCGGAGCACTTCACACCGGCCTCCACGGACGGAGGGAGACAAAAATAAATCAATTAGAGTTGGAGGGGGAGGTTTGGAGTTCCCTGGGGGTGAGACGATGGTTTCCTGTCAAACGTCAGAGGGGGGAGGTGGTGAAAACCGTCTCCCCCCTCTCTCACCTTTAACCTTTAACTTCGTAGGTGAATTTGGGCAGAATCAGCCGGTGCTGGGTTTCAGAGAAGACCACTCCTCTTTAGAGCCATTTATACTATGTTTTAACACGAGATACTAGTACTAGTACTACGACTACTAGTACTACTACTGTAGGAACATCTGCATTTTCACCCTCACCCAATGAGGAGTTGCCAAATCAAACGGTAGCACGGTGGACCAGAGAGACGTGGATGTGTCAAAGCGGCCGTAGGTCTGAACTACAGGCTGTTCGTGATAATTAATAATATTAATGATGATGATGTTAATGAGTCCATATTAGCAGTGATGTTAGCATGTTTCTTGGCGACTGTTGTTTGTTCTTAGCGTTGGTAGCCCCCCCCCTCCCCCCCCCGATGCTTGCGTTTGAATTCTTTGACTTCCTCGTTTCCACTCACTTGTGTTCTAGTACGCGGATGTACACGTTAGTGTTTGAGCTGTTGTGTATGTGATTGGTGGACGACGTTTACTGAGCGTCGGCTCCTGTGGACTCAGCCAGACGGGTCAGCAGAACAGGAACCACGGTGTCTCAGGACAGGACTTTTCTACCAGTAATACTTTTTTTTTTTTCATGAAGGATAACTGCAATACTGTGCTGATAGACAATACTTCAGAATACTGTACGTACTGTTGGAGTACTGTTCCGCTGCAGTACCGATCTCCAGTTTTGTGTAAATATAGAAAGTTTCAGTCTCTGAAGTCCATCAGTGAAACATCACCACCTTCTAGGTCTGTCGAATAAAGTCGGTCTTCTGACATCTCTGCTGTCTTTTCAATCCACACAGGCTGCCACAAGGGGTGCCACTGAGTACATGTGGTTCCTCTGGGGCTCGAACCCAGCAGATTTTTCATGTAAGGCAGGTGTGATAACCACTAAACTACAGAACAACAAAATTTTGCTTTATGCAACAATATTAATAAAAAAAAAAAAAAAAAAAATCAAACCTGTGTGTCTGAGGCTCGGCTGAAGCTAAAGTTAAACTAAACTCCAGATTTCATGAAGTTAGAGTGAATTTAAAAATCGCACAAAGACGTCACAGACGATACGATGCCGAGGCAGGAGATAAAGACAAAAGATTTTATTTATATTTACAAAAGGACGGACGGAGAAATCGCAGAGAGAAGTTTGGAAACAAATATTCACAACGAGTAAAATGTTTCAGATACACAGACATAAAAATCGTGTTTTAAAGATTATAAAAGTGTCGCAACAGTTCACGTCACCGCAGGTCGATCATCGGTTCTCTTTGTCCAGAACCACGGCCAGAACTCTGCGGTCCATCTGTGCAGCCCGCGTTCTGTCTGGAGTGGACGCCTTCAGCTTCACCTGGGAGAAAAAAAAAATGTTATAAAGGTCATCACAGAGTAAAAATCTTAAGCCTGATGAACCACAGGGGGGCAGTGGATCACAATTATAGAAAATGACAAATATCAAACTCAAGGCCTGTGGGCTAAATCTGGCCCGCAGCAGAACGTAACATGTTCAGTATTTTAATCTTGAGGGACTTCAGTGAAATCAAAACCTTTGATAAAAGATGAAAACGACCAATGTGTGTTTGATCACTGATCAGTAGAAAAATAAAGAACAGGAAAACACACGCAGCCTTGATTAACATCATCTCAAGGGTGGGGGTCATAAGAAAGGGTGGGGGCGGGGTCATATGGACGCTGGTCACCTGTGATCGCTGGGCCCTGAGAGTGTTTCCCTCCCTCAGGAGCTGCAGTGGGGAGCGGCCCTGTGCACCTGGACGGAAAAAAAACAAACGAGAAAAAGCCGTTATCTGATGAGGTTTGAACCGAGACCAGGTGGAGGACCAGGTGGAGGACCAGGTGGAGGACCTTCTACGCACCTTTCTGCTTCAGTTTCCCAGACTGGCTCTTGTTTTCATTGCTTGCGTTCCTATTGGTCACGCAGACGGCGAGTGGGGAGGAGGTGCGTTTGCCACTGTTGCCCTGAACTCCTCTGACTCTCAGGGCAGACGCACCGAAGTCTTTGCCCAACCACTGGGGCTTGAACACCACCTGACTGGGGCTCCTGGGGTCCACGGTGGGGCAGCGGATGGTGGTCGGTGGGTTTTCTTTGACCGGTTTCTGACTTTCTTCAGAGGAGGATGTTGTGTGAACCTTTGTGTGCTGTGGCTCAGCGGACAGGACCTCCGCTGGACAACTGCTGGGTTCGACGACTGGAGGCTGAAGGTCGCTCTCTGGTTGAACGGTAATCAGAGGGAGGGCGTAGCAATGGTCCACGTCGCTCTTGATTGGCTCCACTCCTGCAGCAGACACTGGAGAGGAAGTGATGTCACGGTGCACCTCGGCGAAGATCTGTGAGGAGGGGGCGCCCTCGTGACACGTGATCAGACTCAGGCTGAGTCTCTTGTGAAGAGGAGACTCCTTGGCTTCTTCCGCCTCCTCCAGGCTGACGTCGGCCGCGGTTTCAAGCTCCACCTCCGCCTGCGGCTGCTCCAGTATCACGTAAGGGCTGGAGTCACCGGACACGTGGGGGCGCTCAAGAACGGGGGTGGCCAGCAGGTTGGCGTGCTCAGCCAGGGAGCTGCAGGTGCGGGGAGGCCGTGGAGTCAGGAGCGGCTCCGTGGCGGTCTGCTCCTCACCTCCCAGGGTCTCCTCTTCCACGGCGTCACAAACACCTTTCTGAGGGGGTTTGGTGAATTCACCGCCAGCCTCGCTGTGGAAAAGGATGCCCAGACGGCGAGCCAAGGAGTCCACTTTGGCTTCAGGGAGAAGTAAAATAAAAAAACCAAAGGGAGTCCACTTTGGCTTCAGGGAGAAGTCAAACAAAAACCAAAACATTAGATACAAAAAACCCCAGATGTGATCGTAAACCACACGTCTGTCAGTCAACAGTTACCTCTCATGATTTCTCTGACTGGAGTGCGTTGGACGCCAACAGACGGTGAGCGAGGGTCAGTGAACGACACTGGACACTCACTTTTCAGAGCCACAGCTTTGACCTCACTGACCTAGAATTGAAAGAAAATGTTAAATAAAGCATTTCAACAGGATTTACAATGAACATGAGTCTGGACAGGAAGTACACAAAGTTACGCACCTGTATCGGCGTACGGTCGATGGCCGCAGACGGTGAACGTGGGTCGATCAGGTGACCGATTTGACTTTTTGTGAAGGCGGGTTCTGGTTTTGTTGGTTCAGACACCCGCATCTTGCTTTCGTTGAGTCCCATGGTGCTAATGTAATAATACGTCTCTAAATAATTTCGTATTTAAAAAAAAAAGAACAAATCAGTACGTCGTTAGTTCGTAACCTCGGTGTTTGATCCACTTTGTTGGCCCGTTTGGCAACAGCGTTTTTTGACTTGAAGTAAATACAGTATATTCTAGGCGCTGCTAATCTAGGGACATACAGTGTACCACTAGAGGGAGCCAAACTACCACCGGGGGAACATATTACGGTTTGAGAGCGTGCCAGTATATTACCATCAAATAGTATATTACACTATACTATAATATATTGGACAGTTGTTATTCTTACATTCACGTTGGAGTTTGAAAAAAATTAATAGTTTTGCAAAAACATAAAACATATTTTAAATACTGCTTCTAAGACCAAGCTTCGATGATGAAATACTTTGTGCAAATGTACAGTTGGTGACAAAATATCACCGTTAACATGTTTGTTTGTGACGTTTTAGTAAATATGCTGAGCAGCACATGCGCAGACCATCGAGTTATGTTGTAAAAAAACAAAAAACGAGTAACGTTTTGTATAAATAAACACTCGTGCCTTCACACTGTATCGTTTTATATCGAGCATCGATTCTACATAAATATAATACTGAAGAGTTTGTTTACACATTTAAAAACACAGTTTGTACACACAGTACTCGACAAAGAAACAAAGTTAAAGCTAAAGGAAAACATTCACAGGTGAAAAGTGTTAGCAATGATTTTAACGTCTCTGCAAACGTATTTCTTTAACGGCTTAAATTCACTAAAATACGTGATTAACGTGAATAACGCAGGTCATTTAACTGAAATCTTACCTTTAAAGAAGACAAAGACGTGCGTTGAATGTTGACGCTTTCACTCCTTTCACTAATTCCACGCTTCAGACAAAGTCGCTCCACAGTTTAGTTTGAAAACATTTAAATGGCGCTTGGCGTGCACTGCTATCTTTAAATGGACCAATCAGAACGCGCGGTTCTCAGGGCGTCGATTGGCTGAGAGCAAGAAGTAGGCGGAGTTTGAAAAGTACTCTACAAGATAATGTTCGCTTTGTTTTTTTCTGTCCTCCCACCTCGGAATGACATGTATTTTTTTGAAAACTGACTTGACTTGACGGCGGTTGTACATGTCAACAGATGACGTCACGTGACAACTGTTTACGGTTATAACCGTTTTTTTAAAGAAGAAAAATGTCATAAAATAACGCAGTTAAAAGTATATTTATTTAAAATGGTTTGGTTGTTATGTTGGCAAACAGTTGGAGGAAAAACGAATGTGTTCGAGACGTTTGAACAACAACGAAATTCAAAATAACGAACTTTAAAGCAAAAGAATACTGCAAATTAAAATACATTCCTCCCTAAAACAATCACTGACACATTGAATCTAATGTTAAATAAATTGGCCTTTTATTAAAAAAACAAAAACAAGTTTGAAATCAAAGCTTTATTGCTGAATATTAAACATTGCCGTCAGGACAAAACTAGCCTGAAAACAATTAAGGTGCAACATTTATCGTACAACAGACACCGTAGCAATTATTTTACAATGAAGCCATTCATCTAACGGTCAATATGAAAACCTGACGTACAAGTATATGACCTTATTACCACATGTATGATTAATATTCACACATCCATACTGGAACACACACACACACACACACCTTAACAGTAACTGTCCTGCTGGTTGTCAGTTCTTTGTGCTGGCTGGTCACTAACGACTAATTTAAAAAAAACAGCGATAATGGAGAAATGATAATGAAAAAAACATGTCAATGTTAATACATTTTATTAAGTGTTTGTACTGAGGACAATCAAACTGGATCAAAACATTTACTTAAAAAAAAAAAGAGTCCATTATTTATATGCATTGCGACAACAGAACTGTACCTTTACACGAAAGATGGAATTTACAACCTGCTCTCCAGAAAAAAAATTAAAACTTTGACAGATTAATGATGACAAATGTCTCCACTCAGTTATTATTTTATTCACGGAGGAAACCGTTCTGATGAACGCAGCTGCTCAGATGAACGGAGTAACAGGAAATGACATAATTTAAGGTACACTGTCATTACTGCGTCATCTCCTTCTCCAGACTGACACTGCAGTTTTTGATGCCGTGTGAAAAAAAAACCAAAACTGAAATCTGCACTGGAGTTGGAGTCTTCCAGAGGGTGGAGCGTTCACAGTGTCTCTGTTTCTGACGATTCTCACCTTCATTCAATCAGCCTCACACCTACCATACAGCAAAACACATTCACACTCGATCAGCCCCCCCCCGGCTGCCGATCATTCCGTCGCACCTTCCACCTCTCTCTGGCAAAAGTGAGCCAAGAGTGTGTCCAAGTCCCGGCGATCGGCGGCAGCGTACAGAGAGCTCTCTCCCATCATGCTCAGCGCCATGCGCAGAGTGGACCAGATGTTGTCCGACATCATGGTCGCCGCGGCGCCCCCCGGCGCCCGCACCGCTCTGCCCCCATCACCGGCAGCCTGGCGCTGTAGAGACAGAGCTTCAAGAAAGTGTTCGACCGCCTCCCTGAAAAAACAGGAGGAAAAGTGAGGGTCTGGGTTTGATAGTGGGTCACAACCAACGATTTTAGGAGCGTACTGCCACCTACTGTACTGGAGTGTGTAGTGTCATGGTCTGACCAGTGATAACCCACCCTACTCCTTACACCTTGATGTGAGATTCATTGTTTTTTTCTCAAATTTCAGTCCTTTGTTTTATGGCACAAACTTCTAAAGTTATAAAATAACTGGTCTTAAAACATATTGACACGCACTCACTCTCTCACACTACTGTGGACACACACACACACCCACACACACTCATTCTTCTCTCTCACACCTGTGAGCTCCCAGGTTGACACAGCTAATGCCCAGGTTGTAGCGGCTGCGGACGAAGCCTGGCTGCAGTTCCAGAGCTCTCCTGTAGGCGGCTACTGCGTCCTCTGAGTGGCTCCCATTGGCCAGTGTGGCTCCCAACTTATTCCACAGCAGATAGTCCTGATGGGAACACAGAGACGGAGAAGACGGTTCTCAGAGCAGTGATGACATCAGCGTGACCTCGGCGTTGACCTTTACACTGACCTGTGGCGTGACGGAGAGCGCAGCGCTGAAACAGTCCACCGCCTTGTCGTACTCTCCGCTGAGGTTGAACAGAACGCCCAAACCACACTGCAGCTGAGGGTCGACCTGGGCCGGGTCACAGTTGGCCGCTCGCAGGAACAAAGTCTGGACGTCGGCAAACAGAGACCTTGGAAAAAAACAAAAGAACGCCGGCAAACAGAGACCTTGGAAAAAAACAAACAACAAATTATTATAACATTTATAAAAACAGTGTCTTCGTGTCGTCGGGCGGAACTCGACTCACTCTGGCAGCAGCGAGCCGAACCTCTCTCTCTCCTGCTCTCGTTCCCTGGCGCCGTCCTTCTGGCGTTCGTTCTCGTGCTGCTCCCAGACAGAGTGGTATTTTGGATTGTGCTTCAGCCAATCACGGAGGGTCTCACAGGCCTGCCTGTGCAGTGACTCGTTGGTAAAACTGACGGCCAGCGCCATCAGAGCCGTCAGGTTGTCGTTCTTCAGCTCTATACACCTGACGGAAAAACACAGGAGAAACAGTCAGACAACTACAGCGGTTTAGATCAGATTAGATCAGATTAGATCAGATACACTAAAATGGACATGTTGTGAACACAATGGGAGAAAAGAGATTAGATCAGATTAGATTAGACTGATCACATACACTAAAATGGACATCAGAAAAAAAATGACAGACTGACACAAAGGAAGAAAAATAAATAGTTAAATTAATCAGAAAAAAATATTAAAAGTTCTGAGGTACAATAAAAATAATAAATAAATATATAGTATATTATAGATTACATATAAATACTGTTTATATATTACTATTTTGTATCATCATTTTAAACAAAGAAAAAAGTAAGAAAATTGCAATAATAATATATAGTATATTGTAGATTACATATATGTACAAACAAAGAAAATTGTAAGAAAATTGGAAAAAAGTTCAAACTGCGTGTGGTGTTCTTGCATTTCTATTTCTAACCTGCGGAGGGCGCTGATGGCCGCAAACTCCTGCTCATTTTCTGCCTGACAGGTTCCCAGATACTGCCAAGCCTGCAAAGAAAAAAGAAAGAAAACATATGAACTTTGACCAAATCATCATGGCAACTGGTTTCTCTGGTTGGAAAAATAGAAATAAATTATTAAAAAAACAAAAAAAACCCACAGCTGGAATTCGCCGACTGGGTGAAACATGTGAGTGAAACCACAGCGTTTCCACAGACTCACCAGCTGGTTCTCTGGTTCTTTCTGGACGGCACTTTCAAAGAACCGCACGGCACCTGGAATGTCCCCGGCCTCCATCCTCTTCAGCCCCTCTGACAGGGGGTCGGGGTGGGACATGTAGGGGTTGTCCTCCTCGAACTGGTACCCCTGTGGTCCAACAGAACATTACTGTATGAAACACTGCTTCAGGTGGACACGTGTTCCTAACATGTAGACAGAAACCTTGTCGTATGTAGACGTGAGCAGCTGGTTGAAGTCCGACAGCCACGGGTGACTCTCTGCGTCCCTCTTCGCCATTTCCTCCCACTCCTCCTGCAGCTTCTCCCAGAAATCTAAGTCACTCTGGAGGAAACGGAGAGAAACGTTTGAACTTCACCTGCACGACATCGACGCTGATTTGTGGAAACACCCCTTTATAATGTGTTACACTGGGAGGGGCGCGTCGTCAAGAACCTGTCGATACGATACGTATCACGACACACGATACGATATGTTGTGATATATTTGCTATAATTATTATGGTCTGGAGTGGAGCTTTGGCCCAGAG